AGAAAAGGAGCAAAAACTGTGAAAGTAGATGCCCAATGGAAATACATCCCTTTTGCTTCAGTTGCTGCACTGAGAGTCTAAGCAGACAGTGCTGGCAGGTCTGAGGAGTGGTACGAGCAAATCAGGTGGGGCTGGGGAAAAAAAAATCCAACTGCTGTGTTTCAGTCCAGTTTCTCTGAAAGCAAGAACATAAGAAAGCAAATCTGGTACACCTATGACAAAGAAATGGTGGAAACGTCCAGACAAGGAAAACAATTTCTTCTGTTTTGAGGTGCTGAAATTACTTACCCTATTTACATCCCTTTATTTTCTGTGCATAAATTCACTCCTGGTGGAAGGACATTTCAGTGTGTTTGTGTACCAGCATGTAGGCTTTCACTGAGATCCAGGTTACCAGCATCTGCTTGGAAAGGAATACAGCAACAGACATCATCCAAAAAGTTTTTAATTGCATTGATAAGGTTTTGACTTTTTAAATTAAGGAAATGGCGAGAGGGCTCTTTTCTGTGTAAACAAAGAGGAGATCATTGAAGTTGTCCAGACAAGGTAACCTTGGTGAGAGCAGTCTGAAATATGTTATTGTATCTAGTTTCCATGACAGGAATGAAAAATAACAACATAATAGCAGCATTTGAAAAAAAAAAAAAAAAGGCATATCCAAGTCCATACTTACTTCATTGTGAGAGAAAGGTTGAAAGAGTAGCAAGAGAACAACCCCAAGTAGGATTATGAAGTCCACGGGAAGTAGAAGCTGTATCAGGTTGCTAAGGTCAAGATAGAATTGTAGCGTAGACACTTAAGAATGGTGTAAGAAAGACCAAGGCACAAAATTAAATGGAACTAACAAGAAATCAGAAGTAATAAGAAATGTTTTTTAAGGGTATTTTTCAACAATTCATTGTGAAAATAGAAAGTCTTATTAATTAGTATCATCCTGGTTCTTGTACTACTCAGTACCCTATTAGCAATTTAAATAATAGAAAGATTTTCAAATTCCTTCCAAGTCCATTATCCAGCATGGTGATTTATGAATAGACACACTCTTAATACAGTTACATGAAATTTTGAAGTGTTTGCAGTTCACATCAACTTGTAAGTTTTCAAAGCTGTTGATTTTACTGTTCAAAGAGGACTGTTTGCCTCATTGAGATATGCACTGAAGAGAAAAAAACCAAAAAGTGCTGAAATAAAAAATGCAAATGAGAGCATCTCCTCTTGGTTTTCTTCTCTAATGATATTTAGAGAAAATACTTAGTTTCTTTAGGATGCCCTGACTCCAAATACATAGATATCCACATACTGCTCAGTTGGTATGAGATACTTCTAGAAGCACTGCTGTGCTTGGATCTTGGCTCTGTGTGCTCTTGCAGCCTTTCTAGCAAACCCATATAGACTGTGGTAGCTTTAACCAGCATTTGACAACTTGTTTTTCAAAATCCCAGGAGGATCAGGGCTCCATATCAGCAGAGGGACAGGGCAGCTGCTGGAATCTTTTGGACTGGTGTGTCTCAAGGAAGTCACATGGTAGAAATTGGTGTTTCCTGGTGATCAACACAGGTTCAGCTCCAGGTGACTGGCAGTGACTTGAATGTTATCTTGTTGCTTAAGAGTCAGAAGAGGATGCCTAAAACTGTGCCTGTAAGACAGCCATGCTGTAGTTGTCCTCTGCTCTGAAATGCTGAGCTGCAGAGCAGTGGGAGACAGACAAATGAGCAATGCATTTCTTGGCAGAACTGCAAACTTTGAATGTTGGGAGTGGGATAAGAAGGAATGTTGTAGTGACATGTTATAAACAAATCAGGCAACCAGATTTGTCTCAGCCTTGGAAAAACAGGCCTTAGTGTGACTGGAGGGTATTTTTGGGATGTCTACTTGCAAGCCTGAATTCTATCCAACAGGCAGCTGGGAATGTCCTTGAATCCAGAAGATCAAGCTACCCTACACAAATCAGAAGTTCTTACTTTGTTTCTAGAAATATAATAGTATGGATATATTTTAGATATAGACATTTATATGTTATACATAAAGGCTAATGTGAGCTGTGATTGATATATTCACCTGTGAGTAACTGTTCATAAACGAAGTGCTGATGTCCAGATGCTTCTCACTCTTGCCATAACTTGATGTAACATCACTGTTGGCTTAGATTCCTCTGAATTTTTTAATGTTTCACTCCTTACTATACAATAAGGTAAATGCACATAATTTCAATGGTGTCAGCCCCTGCCAGCATGGATGACTGTCTCAGTTTAAAACAAGGGAAAAATCTTTCAAACGTGTGCCTTACAAAGATGGTTCTTCAGAAAAGCATTGTAAAAAAATGCTGACAAGATGGTTATAATAATTTTCCTAATGAATTCCTGAGTAAGGTACTGAGATAAATCAGTTCAGGCTTTGTATAAGAGAAACAGTTTTGAAGCTATTAAAAAACTTTCCCTTTTTGAAAGTCAATAATCAAGACGGTTAAAATACATGAGACAAAAAATTAGGTATCTATATTTTGACTTTGAGAGGTGGCATTTAATCTTAGGACTTGAAGCAATTTCAGTCTCTCAGAGGACTTTCGATGCATGCCAGCATTCCTGTAGCATCCTGAAATAAGGGAATTATTTTGCTAACTCATAAACTAGTTTCAAACATTCAGAGCACTTTTCCATAGTTCTTTGTAAGCAGTCTTGTGCTCTTGTGCTGAGAGCAACTTTTTTTTTTTTTTTTTTTTTTTTTTTTTTTGCAATGCTGGTTTCCAGTTGAGCTAGTTCTTCCTTTGGAAGGTGATTTTGACATCCATAAGAAATCTCTAGAGTAAATCAAAGTTCCATTTTCAGCCAAGCAGGCTTAAACAACTTGGAAGTTCTGCTATGCTACTGCATTCAAGTTACATGATCCAGCCCATATAAAAGACACTTCAAACTTAAAAATCAATGAGCATTCATTCAGGGCATCATGGCAAGGTTTGCAAGCTGAGCCGTGGCATTATTCCAATTTAGTTATGTTGATTTGCATTCTCAAATAAGGACACTTTCCACTGGCTTTGGAGACACTGCACAATTTTCAGCTGCACGGTGTCAACATGCCCAGTGCCAGAGGAGACTTTTGTCAATAATTTATTTATTATACAGAATTTTTTCCTAGTGTAAACATGTTTAGTTAAAGACTGTTTCCATCTGTTCAGCTTTTCTGTATCTCACATGTCCGGGAGACTTTTAGAAAGTGTAGTCAGGGGCTAAACTTCTGAATTGCATCCTGAATTCCCTACAACTCAGCATTATCAGCAGAGCAGCTATAAACTAGCAGGACTGCCGACCTCCAGTCTTCTGAAACATTCAAATTTCACCTTGAAAGAATTTCCTGGGTGTGGTACTCCAGTGTTATAGCAGAAGAACTTAATATATCTAGATCTCTCCTTGCCTGATTTCTTCTACACACATCTTCTCTTCACAGGAAACATATCAAAGTCCTTTTTTACTCCCCCAATGTACACTTACATTTAGCACATGCAGGCCTAAATCTTTTGAAAATAAATATTCTGAAAAGCCCTAACTTCAGGGCTTTTGAGAGGTATCCAGTTCCTGTGAAGCATAAAGGAACTACATAAATAATAGGGAAGTTCAAGAAAAACAAGATTCTCTTTCTGATGCACACATTATACGGGCACAGGAGCAGACATGAATCCTCTGTTGTTGGAGGTCAGTATAGCCCTGCAAAGATCCAGGAGTGTTGTAAAGCAGCAAAGCAAGCCAGGGAAGCACCTGTTGCACAGTCTGGTGACTGTAGTGTCTTGAGACTGGCATTCAGGAGATGGCTGTGTAAAACAGTAGCAGGGAAGAAGGTATTCTCAGTTCCCCAGAAAAACCTGCTATTTCTCAAAATATTTTCCTCTTTCATGCAGTGAGAACTCTGTCCCTGGGCAATGGCTGTAGGTGCCAGGAGGCAGCAGGATACTTTGAACAAACTTCTTCAGGCATGAGCTCCTGAGAGTCATTTTGTGTGCCATGCAGAAGCGTGTAACTGCTTATCACTTCTTCCTCTTGACTTCATTGTCCGCTATTCTGCTTGTGACTGACCTTGCAGTCTGGATGATATATGGACCATGCTGTTTCCCTACCTTCTTTGGGGGTGGTGTTTTTAAACCCCTGGAGTTAGGATTTTGTGATTCAAAACTCCTGATTAATTATTGAGGGCTTCATTGTGTCTATAGAGGATAGTTTCATATCACACTTACACAAGAATCAAGGTCCTGCTGGGTTTCTTTAAAAAAACTGACACTTTTTGAAATTCCAATTGTTTTTGAAAATCACCAATTAACAAATGTGTGTTCTGTATTCTAGACAGCAGAACTGTCTGTAGTTGTGTTACAGGTTTGCTTTTCACTGCAGAAGTTTGAGGAAATACACTGATAATGTTTTAGAGAACCCGTTGTTCTGACCCTCCTTGGGCTAATTTTGCATCGCGCTGTGTGAACGTAACTGCTTTCTAGAGGAACAAAACACCACTCTGCCACATTTGGTCACTGAGGTAGAACTCCAAACATGCTTTGCAGGCCCATTTCTGGTTTCTCCGTGCACACGTGGCTTTTGGTAAAAACCACTGTTTGTAATGAGCTCCCCAGAGATTTCTTGCACCCTTGAGCTCTGCAGTCATGCCCTGTGGACTTCATGTTTCTCTGTTGCTGATCTTTCTCTTAATCTTCGAGTGCTGCAGAGTTGGGAACTGTCTGGACAGCCCAGCAAACCACTAGGGAAAGTTAATTAGCTTAAATCCTTTCTGTGCAAACTTGGTGTTTTGTGTCAGAACATGGTGTCTTTTCACTGTATCCAGAGATACACAGTCCTTTTGCCTGCAGTGTGTATACCACTACATAGCTGCAAATGCATGATGTTTCTATCTTCACTCTCCTCCTAGCAGAATGTTGTATATTATATCAATGGCAAAATGTGAAGGCAGGAGATGGTGCTACTAAAACAAATATTCTCTTTTTTTTTTTTTTTCTTTCTTTCTAGAACTATGCAGCAAGTGATTTCACTAATTGCAAGGAGGAAGTGGAAGACAGCGACCCTTATGAGCTTATGTTGGGCTCAGAAGCTCCACCAGCTATGGGTAAGTCATGTTAGACAGCTTTGTTGGTACTGCTCAGATGAATGTACCATGTGCAGTGTCAAATCAGTGAGTTCATGGGCAGAGAGGGCAAGTTACTCTGACACTTTCAATTTCCACGTTACTGCAACTTCCAGGGAGGGCAGATGTCCTAAAAGGAAAAGGCAGCTGAGGGATTCAGTTGGGATAACAAAGTTCTTGCTCATTAAGAGAGACCTCAGTGCAACGGCCCCTCCTTTTAAACTCTGTAAATTTGTGATCTCCACTCTGAACCTAGAAAGCTGCAGAATTCTCCAAGCTCTCAGAGAAGAACCTTCATAAAAAGGGAGGCACTGCCTACAGGTGCAGTCAAGTCCTGTGTGGAGGCAGATAGTTGACATTTTGCAGCTTGATGTTCCTACTTCCAAGCATAGATTGGTGACAAGCCTGTTGATGATCTCTGTGGTCGTATGCATTCCCCTTGAAAACTGCAAAGTTGCCTGTTTGCATTTACCAATGGCATATATTTTTGCATATATCTTACAGTATCATGGATCTATGAGACTAAGTTTAGTCCTCTTTTTATCTTGTTGACAATTTTATTTTTTCAATTGTCTCATACATATGAAAAGGACGTTTCTTACTTGCTAAGTTCAAACTGGTTGCTTTAGCACATAGATGATAGACACTGTAAAAAACAGGTTTGCTCTGATAAAATTTTCGCTGTCTCTGTCACATTGTATATGGGAACACCTCAGCGTGAGCACCTGGAAAAAGAGCATGAATTGTACCACACTAGCCAGGTAAATGCCCTAACCTCCCATTTGAATCAGTGGTGAAAGGCAGGCTTCACCAAAGGATAACTCAGCATGGAAACCTACCTCGGTAAGATCTGCTGACAGATTGTGTGGTTTAGTCTGTTACCTTACTGAGGTTGACTACTAAAATTTTGATGGTGTACCTAGTGATTAAAATGTACACTTTAATGTCCCTCCACTTTGTTCTTGTTCTGTGGGTCACTAGAGACAGAAGAGCTCTGTTTCCACAAGACTACAGTCATGTCTCCCATGGACAATGCCTATTTCATTTTAGAGAGATTCAAATCAGCACCCAAACCCCATTGTACAAAAAGCAGTAACACAGATGTGTGAGCTAGGCTTTATTTTGAAAAGTGTTGCACTGTGCTGCTTTGAAAGTCAGGTAATAGAAATTCTGGAGGCAGGGAAGGTGTGTGTGATTTCAGTCTGACAGCCGCTCTAGAAAAGTTTAACATTGCACACACGAAGATGGTGTGTATCAGAGTAGCAAGATACAACGAAAACTTCCACTGTTGATTTAGTAAATATTTAAAAAGCTCTTCACTGATGGTATGAATTTGACAGCTTTCCTGCTGTATCACTTCATAAAAGTTTTATTAGCTATTGTGTTGCTTCTGTAGGAATCCTTGAAACAAGAAGTGCTTCCAGATGGCAATTTTTAAATGAAATAATGCTTTCTTTAATATTAAAAGCCAAGCAGAACTCAAGAGATCAATATGCAATTGGATTGAGATGCCGACAAGAAGTTGAGGTGGATGAGGAAAAGAAGGATGATCTAAAAGACAGCAGAGAGGAGACAGAAGATGAAGAAGAGGAGGATTCATACAGCCATCACAACAGTCCTGGCAGTTTGTATGTCAATGTAAGGGATGAGCTCAAAGAGAGCAGGAGAGATTACTTTTTCTGCAAGAGGCCACCCCCTCCTCCCCCTCGAAATCTGCCTGGGATGCAAAGACAGGACAATCTGCATCACTCATCACAAGGTACGATCTTGGGAGGAGAGTAACCCTGGGTACAAACACGTGCAAGGGCAGACGGTGTACTGCTGCAGAGATTGGTTTGATCACTTCTAGCAGTACCTGGGCAGGACAGCCCTAGTGCTACAAAGTAAGTTTGTGCATAGGAGGCCCTAACTCTGCAAAACAAGTATCTGCATGTGACCTTTGCCACATCAAAATACTCATGACCAGGTTTGTCAGGTAATACTGTGGTATGGGCTGCTGGGTTCAGATTTTCCTCACTCCACCTATCTCAGAGAGCTGCCAAATAGTGTATGGTGCACTAGATTTATGAGAGAGGCTTGAAACAAAGATGAAGCCTGTATTTTTGTCAAGTTGACTTCATTATTTACCATTTTAAAACATTAAATGTTATTGTGATTTTATATAAAAATATTTAATTATATTATATTTATTTTACAGCTTGAAGTTTCACAGGTAGAATTAACAGAAAATGGCCACACAGAGAGAACTAACAGCATCTTAATACATTTTAGCCAATGTTGTAGTTATATAGAAGTAAAAAGTTATATTGCAGATTGAAAAGAAAGGCAAAAATTCTGACAAATCCTTTTCCTTTTTTAAATACAACTGCCCCAGAGTAAAAAGCTAAATTTTTGTGTTGTGATTTGATTAAAGTGATGAGAAACTCAAAGTACTATTGCATCTGTTTCAGGAGGGATGATCATCAATTTTTCTCATTGAAAACAACAACTTTGCAAAATAATTCTAGCATAAATACCAGTTTTAAATAGTTGCATAGGGAAAAAAAAACCCTTCTTATTTGTTATAGACAATGCTGATAAGTGTGCACACAAATTGCTTTTCAGCTTCTCCACAGCTTATTACTGTTAACTCTGTTTTCAAACGTGGTGTAACCTATTAGAGTCTTAAATTACCATCACCAAGCACCCTGATGTTCACATAATTAGGCAAAAATAGCTTGATATAGGTAGGATTTTATCCTGTGTTCTACTGTGCAGGAAAGGAATAGCTATAGGTAGAAAGTCATAAGTGAATTCTAAGAGAAAGAGGGGCAGCATAAAATTAACATTAAAGGTGCATCTATATGTGCGTATAAATGAGGGATCAGTTTTGGCGCACAGGATTTGTTGGTGTAGGTTTGTTATAAATGCCTGTTTGGAGTAGTTCTTATACAGCTACATCACCACAGTAATGACCCTCTCTGCCAAATGCTCACTGTCTGCATGTGGGTACCAGCAGAGGAAGTTTCCTGGTGTCCTGTGCCAACTGCTGTGCTGGTAAAGCAGACTTCATCTGAATGCTCCTGTGGGAATAGCTCATTTAAAATGTGCTCTGAATTATTCTGTGTTTAGCTGTGGTTTCCTCACTGACAAATGGAGTGTCAGAATTCCTCCAGCTGAGGACGATGCTTCCTTTCAAAGAGGAGCTATAATGAGTTACTGCTACATATTTTCAGCAAGCTGCTTGCTTTAGAAATTGCTGTGGAGTACCTCCGAGGCCCCTCTTCTTCAAGTTTGTGCTTTGGCAGTGGCCTGAGAGTGCCCCCTGTGGGAGTTGAAAGAAAGAATGTCCTACAGAGAAAGAAACAGAACTCATGTAGTGATCTGGAAACAAAATATTATTCATATTATATACAGCAGGTGTATTGATACCACTTGTGGTTTTAAAACATATATCTTAGCCAGAATGCATGTTAATAGTACATGCTATTATTAATACATCCCATTAACAAATATATCCCACTTAAAAAGGTTGTTTAGCCCCTCTGAACCCAATAAACAGGTAATTCTTTAAATAGCAGCCAAAGGATTGAAAACACCAGTAGTGACCACAGCCGAGTTTAGCAGATACACATAGGTACAGGCAGTAAATTACAGCACAAGGGAAACATGAGTCAGCACAAGGATTCCAGGCAACAGGTCTACTGTTTTTGTAGGAAAGATGGGTAATCATGTCAAGGAAGTTATAAACATTTATGGGAACACCAGCCTCAGTGACAGCTCCTAACTCTTAGCAGTTTGTGGGTGTTTTAAGACAAATAAATCAAAACAAACCCAGGTATCAGGAAACCAACAATGCCTTTAATGCTGTAAAGCCACAAGAGAAAAGCAAGTTCTGAGTAGTTGTATTACGAAGTATATGAAGTATAGGGAATACAGAGAGACGTGGAAGTTTTTGCAGGGGAGAGAGGGTTGGATAGTCTTAGCATAGATTGTAAGAGGTCATACATTTTACCTACATTGTAAATAGCTTTTCAGTTTCTGTTTCACCAGGGCTTACAGTAGATCTGTAAAGCCCTCAAAACCCTGTGGGATACTGAAGAGGTAGGAAACACAAAATCCAACATTTCCTAAATTAAGTTTCAATTCTTATGTCATTTTTTGCAACAGGTAACAAACAGCTTGACTTTGCAGAATGCCAAGGGCCACAGGTACTTCTTACTTGGCTTAACCATGAGTTACATGTTAGTTACATGTTGGTGTAACTCTCATGAGAGCAACTGGGGCACTCAGTGTTTCTGCAAATAAATCCCTTTATTTTGTGGCTAATAGCTTAGCATCTACATTTGATAATCTGGTGTGAACTCATGAGGAAGCCCTGAAGTTGGAATTATTCCTTTGGGACATCCTCTCTACTGAGTTAGATGATCAGAATCCTCTGAAAATGAGTGTGCTGTAGTTTAGAAGTGAAATGAGGTCTCTGAGCTACTTTAGGAAGCTCTAAACCTTTAAGATAAATCATCATCTCCTCTCTTTATCCTGTATATGCAACACAGTACTTTCCTTTTTCAGAGAGAACTTTTGTGATGGACAGGAGTAAAAGAGAGCAGGGTGATGGACTCACAACCGCCTGCTGTGGAGAAGACCAGGGTTCCTGTGAGGAGGACAGCGAGGAGGAGCACCCCTACATTTGTGTGGCACAGGATGAATATGTGTACGACCTCATCCTGGGGCAGGAGGAGCAGGAGGAGGAGAAAAGGAAGCACTGCAGGTCCTTTATCATGAACAGGCCGCCAGCCCCTGCGCCCCGGCCCGTGTGCTCGCTGGTCAGGGAGGAGAACACGCCCTACATTGTACAAGGTTGGTGCTGCTGCCACATAAATATTTTCTGGGAGAATGTAGACTCTTGTCTTGGTCTCTTCTCTTTGAGCAGTAACATTTCCGAAAAGACTAAGATCACTGTTCAGCTGCCTCCAAACCAACACGTTGTTTGTTTCAGTCAACCTATTCTCACCCTTCAAATGAGCTGAGAACATCTCTGAATAATTTTCAGTTTGCATCAGAGTAAGTGTCACAGTTTTTATTTAGCTTTTAAAAAATTATGACAATATGATAGAAAATGAAGAATCGCTGGGCTAGCTGTGAGTGTGTATGTTACAGCAATGTAGAATGTGCTATTTGAATTGCCTTTCTTTCCAGTTTCTTTATCAAATGGTTTTACTTTAGGCTGAAATCTCTCTCTTAGATTTTTTTTTTCTTCTGATAAAAAGAATGACCTTTTCTGGAAGAAAAGCCTGTATGAGGATTCCTCTTTCAAATACCTTTTCTCCAATTTGATGCTAGGAATGGGCGTTTCTACATAGGATCATTATATTTCTTGAAGGAAAAATTATGTCTTTTTACCACTTCTATGAAAACTGGGAAACTCTTTTGAGCTATTTCATGGAAATACAAGACCAGAAGGGATTTCAGATATCTTAGTAATCCAATTCAGACTGAAACCAAATTTGAAAGTAGCAAAAGGAATTCAGTGGATATGCTGCAGAGATCTCTGTGTAAGTCCAAAAATCCATCCTGCCTGCATCCCCAACCTCTTCTACAAAAGCCTGCCAATTGAGAAGAATAGATGGTAAAAAAGTAGGCTGTCAAAGGACACCATTAGGTTGCTTACCTCATGCTGTGCATTTTTTACTGGAACAGAATTAATACTGCCCAAAACATCTTACCAAATACAGAGTAGCACCTCCTCTTTCATGCCTATCTCAGGCAGTGGTTTATTTTATTATTCCTAGATAGCTCTCTTCCTCCAGGCTGTGTAACTCCAGGTTAGGGCCAGAATGCGTGGGCTAATGCTCTTTCTTCAGCAAATTCAGGAGGTACAAGTATGAATCATTAAAGTGTAATCCAAGAATGGATGGGCACAGGGGGCCTGTTACAGCTACAGAAGTCATGAAATGGCTGCTTCTACTGAGGTTGCTAGAGCAGTGTCACAAATCCTGGTCCACCATCATCATAGACAGGCCAGTGACTTGGGAACCCTTAGTGGAGATGTTTTATTTGGGAGATTGCTTTTACTGTCTTTTATTGTACTGGAGTGCTTCTGCTTTGTTTATTGGCTAAGGTAGATGCTTTCAGAGGAGCTGCTCTGATGGGGCTGTGGTCCCCCATGTGTTTGTATTCATATGTACACACACACAGGTTTTTTACCTTTGCTTTCATAAGGATGTAGTGGTAGACAGATTATTTTCCAGTAGTTCTGTGAAATCAGCCTCTGACTCATGTTCATTTGCTTACACAATTCATGAGGAAAAATGGAAACACTTCAAGAAAGCTTCAGCTGACCATTCAGGTCTCTGTTTTCCTACCTATCCTGCTGGTTCCAGACCTAGAATGTCCATTTTTGTCCAGGGATTCCTGAGATAGCTAGGGAAATTTTAGACAGAAGGGATATATCTTCAACTGAAAGATTTTTTCTTCCTGCTTGGATTGGCAATGTTTTTCCTCTGCATTGGTTAAAAAGTTCTCTCTCTAGTCCAGCAACATCCCAATTTCCAATTTATTATTTTAGGACTGCTTATATTTGATTAAAAAAAAAAAAAATTGTTTCATTGGTATGAACAAGGAAACTTCATTCCAGTTCATCATTAAAACCTGCGGGTGTCTGCAGCCCTTCCTTTATAATTTAAACAGTGTGAAATACTCTAGTTATTCATATACACATTTTTCATCCAGCAAATAAGTTGGTTATGGTTTTGGGGTTTGTTTTCATCTATTATATTAAAAAGAGCATTGCAGATACTGCAAAGTCAAATAAACAAAAGTTAGAATTAAGGTAGTTTTACCCTTTCTCCCTGCCAGGAACATTTCAATACAGTAATAAGTAGGTAGCCATATGCAGCTATTTATCTCAGATATTTTCTTTCATTTCATCTAGTGTTTAAAGTGGGTGAGCATAAAAATCTTCAGTGTTTTTCATTCTCATTTTGTTTAAAATATAATTCATGCCTGCTCTGAGGCCCCATGTGTTGTTTCAAACCCTCCTGTTACAAACCCTTTGATTCTGCATCCACTGAGTTTTGGGATGCCCAGTATGAAGTAACTAAGATTCTTGAGGTGAACAAAATTACGTAACACTTTACTCATTCAAAGCAGAGACACCGTTGATTTCAGTGGCCACTAAGAGTTCTCTGAATTTCAAATTAAATCCTTAGTGTGTCTGGTCAGTACTCTGACATCAGGCATTGCAAGCTGGATTGCTGCCTTAAATGACTTGTCTCACCTTTGGCCAGGGCTTTGTTGGCAGAGCAACTTCTAGTTGCTTAACTGAACCATCCTTCCCTCCTCTGTATTCACTTTTTGTTTGCTAAATACCTTTTAATTTCTAAAGCAAATTATTTAATATTCCTGTAAGAAACAGATTGCCTTCTCTGCACAATTCTGGTTATCTTCAGAGCTGTTCCTTTCTGGCATTCAGTAAGACACAAGTACTCTGGAAAACAGAAGGGAGAACCATGCACAGAGAGGGGCTGTGTTAAGGCTGCACATTTGCTCACAGATGGATCCCCATGTACTTTGGGAGTTCATGGAAAGTGTCATGCCCCAAGGATGGCAGAGGCTGGTGTGATTGTGCCATGCAGATGTGCAAGAGGAGCATTTTTTTCTTGTACTTTATGTACCCATAGATGGGCTCATTTATTTGGTGGGGGGTAATAAGCATTGCATAGCAGAAATGCCTTTTTCCTCCTGGATTGCGTGCAGGTGACTCTTTTAAATTTATTTTTATATCCATCTGGAGAAATCAAATGGCTGAATTTCCATGAGTGCTTTCACCGCACATTGAATGAAGGCCATGTCATGACAAAAGAGTGATGTCACATTTAAGCAAAAGTGGTGGTGCTTCCATGAGAATAGCAACCAAGAAGAAAGCAAGCAAATAGTTTTCTTTGTGATAAGCAGCTTTCAAATACATGGAATATCAAGTTTACACTGGGCAGAAAGCCTCCTCCCTGTACATTACCCCACTTGGTGTTCTGCAGAACAGGACAGGGAAACTGTTGATCTATAGAAAACAAACATGGGACTTGACAAGAGTCACTTTCAGAGCAAGATCTACACTTCAAAACCTAGGCAGTAAACAGCCAGTGATGCAAGTTGTTGCAACTGAACTACCACAATTCACAATTTGAGCATCTGCCTTGAATTTGCTGACACATAAATTCTGGGAAACATGGGGGAGTTGAAAGATTTAAAACATAAATGTTCTAATTGCTTTTACTCAGTTTCATTTATTATACTTTCAAATTTTAATGAACATTCAAACTGCTGTATTGAACACTGGTAAACAGACTGCATTATTAACAGAGTAGATTTGTTCTTTAATTTAGTCCACTGCAAGAATTTTATCTTGTGTGTAAAAGGCTCATCAACCAGTGGAGCTGCAAATTGATGCCAAGTATCTCATTGTCCAGATGGTATGCACTCTTACTGTGCTCCCTTACCATTCCTTAGGTGCTTAGTATTCCTCTGAAGGTTATTTCAGTGTTTTGTTCAATTGTCTGCTGCCAAAACAACTGTTAAATAAACATCTGAAGGTGTTGTGTTTTCAGTTTAGAGTGCAATTTTTAATGTTCCCTGTTTTTAATTTTCCCTAATGATACCAAGTTTGATTGAGCTAGAAACCAAAGTCCTCTGTGTAGTTGTAGGACAGATGCATGAGTTTCTGCAATGCCCCTGCCATTTCTGAAGCCTGACCTACTAGGACTCCCTCAGGGTTAAGGATTACATTACTGTCCTGGTTTAGTCATTTACCTCTCATCACAGACCATTAATATGAAAGGGTTTCTCTGCAGCAAGGATACCTGCCCTACAACAGCATAAATTTCCAATGCTATAGCCTTTATTTCTTTGCAAACCTCTCACAAATCCATGAAGAAATGCATTTTCCCTTCTGTGCAGTGAAAACATTTTGCTATTTAAAGATAGCTGTCTGTGGGACTTCACCATAGGTTTAAAAATTAGAAATGGAAAAATATATTTTCCAGTTACTGTTCCAGTGGAGAATAACATTCTCATTGCTCATCAAAATCATAGGGTATGCAGAAGAAGTAGCATCCAGTGGATATTTTTAGAGAAGCAGAATATCTTACCTACAGAATAGAAAGCATAAACCCACCGAAGTGAATAAATAAAATCCAGAACAGAACTGTTAGTGTCATGGAAACTTATCAGGCTGATTACTGGGAAATACAATGATCATACCCTGAGTCAGTAATTCTTATTAAGCCAATTGTTTAAATGCTCTAAAGCAGGGGTTTCCAAAGTGAAGCCTCAGAGGCCATGCAAATTGCAAAACATTTATGTCCCACAGAGGAATTTTGTAGTATTCTCCTACAGTGAGAATAAAGTACTGCACTGCAGATGAATTTCATTATGTATTCCTAACTTAAGGGTGTTTTTCCATGAATGAAATACTAGGAAGCACTGTTTGGCTGGCAGTTAAGACTCTTTTCACAGACCTGGTTGGGAGTGATATACCAGCTTCACCCAACTGTCTTCATTCAGTCAGATTTTTTGCTATCTGAACTTTGGTAGATTGAAACAAGTACTGAATAAGGTGCAGAGAGAGAAAAATATTTATGGGATGCTGTCTGGCTGCAAACCAAACTGTTCCAAATAGCGTATTTGTAGTAAAAACATGTATAGAGTCCTTCCCTTTTTGCTTGTCTCTGCTCAAGAAAAATGGGACTAAATAAGTATATTCAGGTTTTACAACCTGGAGCAAATACTCCTTGAGTATGTCACTAAAGTCCTTCCAGCTTCCATGGTGCACTAAGTTAAAATTCTCACAAGAGCAGAGATGTGAGATCTGTTTTCATTGTGTGTGGTACTGGGGTACACAGAACACTGACACCACCCTCTGAGCAGCTCCTTAAACTAACCACTGGTGCCTCTTCTACTCACTCACTCACTCACTCTTCTGTAAGAAGGGGGTTCTGGTGTTGTCTTTATTATCTTGCTTCAGTGTAGGGGAGTCATCTCTGTAGAGTCTCCTGAGGTCCTTCTGTGACCAAAGTTGCTGGGATTTTAACAGATTTGAGCTCATATTTGTCAGACTCAGAATCTCACTGCAAACTGTGAAGGGAATTGCTGGTGAGCATATGCTTATTTTGTGATTAATATTTTCACATCGTCCTTACACTGTAATTCCCTTTAAAATCATTTTGCTTTTTGGTCTGAGAAAATGGAGTGGTTCATTCTCAGCCAACTAAAGAGCAGTGGGAGGCTGGCAATAGCCTGTAATATTGGGATGACTGGATGTAATGCTCTCACTGAAAGCCCTGGCAACATCAGGGAGCAAAGTGGCAAGTTGGTATTTCTGCAGGGGCACTTGGCATCCCCTAGTCTTTATTCTGAAAAAATGACTGTTGTGCGTTCTCAAAAATGTCTTGAGTGTCAGGCTGCCCATTTAGGCCTGATCACAATTCCTGTACCAGTGTGTTTGTGGTCACTCATTTTCCTGCACTGATGCACTTAAAACTGCTCAGTCTTTTTCCCTTTGCCTCGTCATGGTGTAGGTGTACCCAGACACCGATGCTGCATTTGTTACCTTGCCCCATACAGCCAACCCTTCTCCACGATGCCTGGACCTACCTAGGTCAGATTCTTGAGCCATGATGATATGCTTTTAATCCATACCCAGCTGCCTTGCCTTGTGAAAAGAGAAAAGTCTGTTTACAAGGTCGCATTTCCTTAGTTGTTTTCATGTTATGAGTCACTGGAAGTTTTTGTTTTCATTTTGAATATGTGAAATATTTTGTATAAATTTTGGGAGTGGTTGTTAATCATCTCTTACAAAACTTACTGGTTAGAATTGCATTGATGACCTCTCTTGAGTCCTCATGCTGAGTGATGTTCGGTGTGTTAGCAAACAAATCAGACAAAAGGAAAATAGATCTAAAAAGATGTGAGCAAACATCTGCAGAGTTCTCTTCTCCTGAATAATAAGCATCATTCTACTGTATTCCTTCCTTAGCATTCTCTGTGTATTTGTCATCTCTTGCTGTGCTACATCTAATTTACAATCCAATCCTTACCAGAAAAAAAGAACTTGGGGGTTTTATTTGCCTAGGTGCTATACATACACAGTTTAAATGTTAAAGTGTTTAAATAATGTGGAAAAAATTGAGTGGACAAAGGCAAGAGCCTCTCCATGCAAAATATCCTAAACAGCAATTCACCCCTCCTTCTCCATTCTTCCATTAATCACAAATTAATTACATGACGATTCTAAAATGAATGAAGCAAATACCTACAAAAAACAAGGAGGAAGCTTGCAAACCCACTGTAATTTGCAACTGAGTTTGTGTTACTAAGTGCAACCCTAGTGTACTAATTAATTTGAATTATCACTTAGCCATGTGTTCATATAAAGATTTTCTTTCCCTGTATTTAAATTTTGAATGTTTCCTAAGGAAAACAGTAATAGATAATTTTGTTTGGAACATCAGCTCAATGAAGCTGATGAATAAATGCATCTTGAATTTCCTAAGCAAGCTGAATTCAAAATAGTGATATTTATTGAAAGATTTTTTAATCACTGTCTTTTCTCCTTTTTGTTTGTCCTACTGAAAGCGTCAAGTAAGTAGGTATTAGGTATGATTAGCTCATATGTTCTTTCAGAGGGTAGGTCCATCGGTCCAGCTTTGAATCACTAGTGTATGGTGGAAACTCTTGTTTCATTTTTAGAGGTAACGTTGCCAATTCAACGAATCAGGCAACATCCCTCATAGTTTAGATGAGTAAAGTAAAATATAAATTAGAAACCATATCTTCGTTGATCATTGCCTCTTAGCTTATGAGTTCTTCTCTCCCATGATCTAACTCGTCCCGTGTTTTGATTTCCTGTGTTATGTTGCTAACCAGTTTTTGAAATGTCACAGTGCATCTGTGGCTCCTTAACATTACAGCTTTGTGTTAGAAATTCGATTAATTCTGAAAATCAAATTCCTGTCCATTTTGTCAACTGCAACTATTATAAAAACTTTCATTCTTTTTGCTAGACCCTTTATACTCGCCACAATTTCTGGCAGTTTGTTACTATAAAATGGTCTTCTTAGTTCAGAATTATACACAAAAGACTTAGATTTCAAATTTTTCTAACCCTTTTGTGGTGCTAAGCATGAAAATATTAAGCAAATTTCAAGCCTCATAGCATTATTTATCTGCATATGCAGACAGCCTGAAACAACATCTTTATAGTTAGTCTGAGATAAAACAGGCAATTCAGAGTTCTTGGATCCCACTCACTTTCCAACATTAGGAAATTTTCCACTCACTTCCTTACATTAGGAATTTTCCCAGAGTTTTGCATATTTGCCTCAAAATTTGTATTTTGTCCCACTTTTTAAATGTTGCTTTCTGGTTTCATGTCCTATTAGAATAATTGCAGTAATTTAATTCTCTCTGAGTTTGCTTTGCTGGAAAAATATTGGGGTTACATTACATTCCTAAAGAGAACAGACATAAAAATGAGACAGACATAAAAATGTATTTAGGGCTTGCAGAGAACTTCATCTGTATCCTGTAGCAGCTGAAGAGAGGAGAGGAAATAAAGTGGAATTACCTGTTAGTTCTCTCAGCCTCTTTTAATTCTGAGAAACTGCAACAGAAGTTTGTTGTAGACAAAAACTAAATGGCATGTACAGGGTCAGGACATTTAATAAGTAGATTTTGACTGGTAGTTTAGCCAGTCACAACATGAGTAAAAATCCAAAAGGATTCGCTTTCTCATCCTACAGATGTTACTGAAGGGTCCACAGTAAGTATGATAGAAGTGCTGAAACATTTTAATCAGATTATCTGTGCTAGAGAGGCCCAGAAAATAAAAAAATATATATCCTTACTTGAAGGAATTTGACATTCTGACACTTAAAAAATTTGCTGTATCAATATCGCTTTACTGAAGGAATATTTCATTTATCTTCCATTCAAAAAATAATGGAATATATCACTGTGCAAGATTACCCGTTACTTTTATTTCCCTGCTGTGTTCAAGTAGTTCATAAGTAATTGAAATGTGGGAATGAAAGGGTGAATTGCCAGAGTTCTCCCTAAACTTATGGCACAGTTATACAGTGGAGTCTTCCTGCCTTTCCAGGCATTCCAGAAGCAGGCGTTTGTTTTCACTGACCTCACCCACACTGAATACTTGCTGCCAACTAAAATCATTTCAGCAAGATGCAGCACATAAAGTGATTTTAACAATTTTACTTTTCACTGGAAGAGTAATTCCATTTCTGATTACTCCAACACTGCAAAACTCAGCAGAAATTTCAAAGCCTATCAATTAAAGTGCTTTCCAATCAGGCACATTGTTGAGTATGTCCCTTCTCCTCCTTATGCAATAAAATTCAGGCTGCCTGCATTACCTCTGTGCTCTCATTACTTTAATTTCATCTTTAAAAGGAGAATACTGTTTCAAGTAGAGAAGAAAACACTGCAAATATACTTCGTAGGATTCTTTAATAATTACAGAGAAAAGTGTTTAAAAAAGTTGAAATATATCAGTGTTTGGCTGAGCTAGGGATATAAGTGAGAGCATGCCTGCTCTGCTGCTTCAGCAGAGCTCCCTTGGCCTGGGCCTTGGTCCCCAGGAAAATATTTGCTCCATTGAACTGGCACATTTGCTGCATTGCAGTGATGACAGAGGATTACTTAATTGGCAGGAATTATTCTAGGTTCTAGAATGTCAGTTTGTTTAGTGAAAATCAGAACTGAGACTTGAGAGAAAGTTACTGCCACACAGGCTATGTCAGAAACTGAGCAATTCCCACCTTCTGGGTGTTACATATGCTGCCAGCAAAAGTTTGAGTGCTGCATTTCAGGGTGTATCCAGGCTGGCTGTACTCTGGGCACTTCACAGGAGTGGGAATGATGGGCTGCTCTAACAGAGGGGTTGTGCTTTGCTGTTTCTAGTGCTTGAATAAAGTACACACAAATAGACACACACTCTTTTCAGCAGTGTCACTATTGTCACCTGGTACTATTGGGGTTTTTCTGCCTTAGTTTTCCCCATAAAATAAGGAACAGGCTACAGTGTGTGTACCATCTGCAGAACTCTGCAATCCTGCTGTTTCTTCCAGACACGTAATATGCTAGTGTGATAAATCCTTTTAATTTTCTTTAAAGTGTCTTGTAATGGTTTCTGTAACATCAGTAATCCTGCCATTCTGTGCAACAGAACATTTTTTCAAGTAATTAACGTTAGACTGACAAGTGGGTTGAAAAATACTCTTAGACTAGAACAAAAAATGTATTCCAGCCTGCTTTTATGAGTCTCCTTCCTTCATTGAGAATGTAACGGTTTTTATTGCCATTTTTCAACTTCCTTATAATTCCTAATTTTGTTGCAGTGTTTCGGCAAAAGGCCTGTGGAGTGACCAGTGACAACAGCAGGACATACTGCGAGGCCAGGAATCCTGGTACAGAATTTAATTTAGCTCTTTAACTGCCATGATATTTTTCAGTAGAGCTAGCAGAATTTTGCTGTGACTTGATTTTGGGTGATTTAGCATCTGTTTTGTCACCTACGATTTATATCCTTAATGGTATTGCAGCATTGAGAGATCAGATTAAAGAAAGAAGACTAAAAGTTATAGTCTTGTAGGAAAGATTTGTAGAGTGAGAATTACTTTACACTTTTCTTTTTCCCTTCATGATTGTGATTAAAGCCAAGACAAGGAAGGACAGGAGGGCTCAGCTGTGCAGTAATTCCAGCCATGGAAAGATAGAAGTGGGGGGAAGCAATAGTTCTCTCCTGGGTACCCCAAGATGCATGTAAAGTTGATTACTTGTGTCAGTCCAGTTGTTATTTGAGTTGTAGCACATTACAATGTTGCCCCTTTGACCAATCCTTCCTTGCTTGAAATGAAGATACTGGTGCATGATGGAACAGAAAAACTGACCCAAATCATATTGATGGATTAAACTTTTATCCTGGCCACACTCCCCATGCAGTGCAACATGTGCAACAGCCTCACAGAGGGCTCAGAGCCCCCATTCCATGGCTGCTCATGTGTTCTGGATCAGCCATTCCAGTATCAGTATCCTGGGGAGAGGCAGTGCTACACCTCCCTGGAGCAAGCTGTCACTCTGATAACACACATCTCCCTTCAGCTGTGCACTCTGTCATAATCTCCAGGAACACTGGGCTGCAGTGTTTTCTTGTTATTAAATGTATTTAATAATGTATTTCCTTCCTTGGAGGAAGGCAATCTTTTGAAATTTCAAGATGCTTCCTGACCAAATTTTATTCACAACTTTTGAGATATATAATTTATGATGTTGAAGAAGAAAGGGTAAAAAGGTACTGTGGATATTTTACACAGCAACCATTTCCTTTAAAATGTCAGTATTGTAACTGTAGTGCTAGAAGGAAATTATTTTATGAAGCAACACTAATGGAGAATCCATGGACCAGGGCAGTAGTAATGAAACAAATGTTTGGGATGCTGCTCTGCTGCCAAAGAGTAATGGTAGAATCCTCACTGATTTATTGCATTTCTCACTTTGTACATTTTGTTGTAGAAGCACACAGAGGCCACACTGAGACAGTAACTTACAGCACTGTGGTACACAAGATCCCTCCTGAACAGGAAGAACTCATCCACTTGCAGAAACAGGTGAAAAAGGGGGCAATTTCTGTGGATGAAGCCCTTGACAGATTTAAACAGTGGCAGAACAAAATGCAGAGACTACCATCCACTCAACAGGTATGAGTTTGAAATTTGTTCCTTGATAGAAATCTTGTTCAGATGTTCTAAAAGCAAGTTCTTGTGTTTTGGTTCCTACATATGAGGTCAAAAGCAATAATCATGATTTATATGCAAATCAGCTCCCAAGAAGCTTGCTGGTTATGGTTCTGAATCGTCTAGATACACGTTCCCACTGTTGTTTGAGAGGTTTTCTGAGTTTGGTTTAAGTCCAGAGTTAAATGGTGCTGGTCTCCTAAGACTTTTGTTTTAAACTGTTGGGTGATGTGCATCTTTCATGAAACCAGAAACCTTATGTCACCAAACAAACCAAATGTGCTACTGAGCAGTCTCAGCTAACAAAACTTGACTATATCAAGACTGTACATTTACTCTAGCAATTACAAAATATTAATTTACAGCAGGCTTTATGCCTGTCTGAAAGGCTTGAATATACTTAGTGAAATCCAGAATTGTTGGCAGTGCTCTACAGCTCTTTGTATTCAATGTATGGAGTAAATTGAGAGGCACAAAAACTGGATTTACAAAAGCCCACACACTGAGACACTGAAAGAACTGCATCAAAGCTGCAAGTCATGGAGAGGATATTTGTTAATTACTTCTAAAAAGACACATGGAGGAAGAGGTTATGCCCTCATTTTATGAGGTCATGCATTAATAAAAATAATTTCTTGTTGTCCTTTAGGTCATTTAGTAGAAAGAAGAAAAACAAAGCTAGTCTGCTGTTTTTCAGAGTGAAAGAGCTATCAGATGCTGCCAGCAAGGGGAGTGCTCTTTGTATTTGCATCTCTTGAAAATCTGAGCTTTGTCATCACAGTGGAGCACTTAACAGCAAAAGTGCAGGGGCCTGGAACAGTTTGAGGGCCCTTTCCCAAGCTGGGCACCAGCAGCACAGCACTAGGATGCCACCTTCCAAATCCATCTGCAGCCAAGCATGCAGAAGAATTGCTGCTATTGCTCTCAGTCAGGGGCATTTCTTGTGGAGGAAGATCATATCTAATCTGTACCCTGATAGAAGCACCAAGTCTTTTTTTTCTTGGTGAATTATAATATGCCCATATTTCAAGGAAGATTTACTTGGCCTGTTTTCAGTGCTTCAGGAAAAAAGCTGCTTTGTAGTGATGGTTTTTACCCTGCATTGCATGTCTGACTTCTCTTTGGTTTTGCTCCATAGAAAAGTCTTCTTCTTAGTCCTCTATAAACATCGTGAACTGACTTCCCTGCAGTTTTTTGTCCTTCACTTGGATTTTTGAGGAAAAATTGCTTTTTCAAAACAAAACAAAACAACAAGAAAAAAAAACAAAACAAAAAAAAAAAAAAAAAAAAAAAAAAAAAAAAAAAAAAAAAAAAAAACAAGCAGAAAAGAACACCCAATACTCTATAGTTTAATACCACAATCATTTTAACTTACTGCTGGTGGGGATAACTCCACAAGAGTCTTAGGTAAAAATGCTAAAATTAGCATCATAAACATTTTTCAGTCTTTTAAAATTATTTTCCATGAGAGAGATGCCTAGTGTTCAGAATGCTAAAGAATTCAGCTCTGTATAGTGTCTTACTATTTCTACAGCAAGCTTGCATTACAGATTTCTGCTGCTGGTTTTATGCTTTGTTTTTTTGTTTTTTGTTTTTTTTTTTTTTAACTTAAAGGAAAAAGTTCATCACCTGAGATACACCACGATCAGAAACAGACAAGAAAATGAACACCTGAATGGTAAGTTTTACTTTTTCTACCTTTAAGGACTCTGAAGCCTTGAACTGTAAGTTTAGAGCAGAGGTCTGATCCAAACCCTTTTGGATCGGACATTGAATTTGTGATGAACGTATTCTGTATCTGACCACATTTATTTTAGCATAATCAGGCCTTCAGCAGTGTCAAGATTTCATCCCAAAGATGAACTCACTGTGAGTTAATTGGCCAGAAAATTTACCAAGTCTCTGTGGCTCAGCTTTTCTGTAGCCTGTTTCCTACTGCATCATCAGAATTTGGGTAGATGGCTTCTTTAAAACAATTTGCTTGGTGACTTCAATATTTTATTTGCAAATCAGCCATCAATTTGCAAGTTTTTGATAAACTTTCTACTGCTACAGCAGTTTTTATGAGTATTGTGGTCATTGTTTAAAACTGTACCACTGGTAATTTAAGATGCTTTTTTCCCTTTTGGGAGAAAAAAGGGATTTTTGGGATTGCCCTGTGCAGGGTCAGGAGCCAGACTCTATGATGATTGTGGGTGCCTTCCAATTCAGAATATTCTATTACTCTTTGTGACTGAATGTCATCTACAATAGTATAAATGTAATCTATACAATAGTATAAAGTATCTGCTTTTTCTGCAAATGGTTTTCTCTTGCTGTTACAAAAAGAATCTATTAGAGGGTATTGGTTTTAGGCCTTTGATTTCTTGTAAACTTCAGTATATATGCTAAATGGAAAACTGGGGTTTTTTTCACATTGGACTTAGCACCATTTGTATATCTCTATTTTAAATTATCACCTAAATGCATTATTTCCTTACTGCAAGAGAAAAGGTACTGCTTTCATTATTCTCTTAGACAGCACTGTATTTATGTGAACTTGTAAGGTACTGTAATTAATTGAGGGAAATTCCTGCTGGCCCAGCAGCAGTTTTGCAGTCCTGATATTTCGGCTGTAATATCTTCTGTGGCTGGTAGGGAGGCAGTGTCCTGAGCAAGAGCCTTCACAAGGTGCTCAGAGCCTGAGGGTTTGGGATCACTGCAGCTCATGAGAAGACGAGGGTGACTCTTGGGAAGCGTTTGTCTGTAGGGAAGGGTTTCATTTTAAGGCCACAGCAGGAGTCCTGCCTCTGTAGCTGTCCTGCTTCTCCAGAGTTCATTATTGAATCATACCAGCAGAAATGTAATATCAACATCAGAATTGTTAATTTTGTGGAATTATCCAGTAACTCAGATAATGATCACTATATTCCCTTCTGATCCTGACCTCACTGCCCTCTCCTACACTGTCATAGAGCTTGTGATGCATATAAATCAGCAGCTTTGCACTGCAGAAGTGGGAAAAATCATTATGGTCTGTGTCCAACAACAGAAACCAAATATTTCAATGCTTGAAAAAAAGGACTTCCTCTAGAACTGAAAGCATATCAATGGCAAGAGTAAACAAGGATTGCAGAGGGAAGATGTCTGTGTCCAGACATAAATTCTCTGAAACAAAAATGATAATCACCACCTCTCTCCTTTGAAATTCCTAAGGAAAGCAGACCAGAGAGACATTTTGTTTCACATGTCATTTAGAAAAGTGGTATGTGTGAATGTCAGTAGTCCTCAGATTTACTCTAAGAATGCTAGTTTTTACATGTAGATACAGACTCTCCCTGATGTACCTTAAAAACATGGGCCTCCTTCTCTAGACTCCATGTTTGAAATCAGGGTCTTTTTCATAGACAGTTTTTGAAGTCTTGCTTGAGGATTTAAAGAGATCACATCTGAAGTCTGTCAGAAAAAGAATTTGATTTGATTTTAATGAGAAAAGAAAATATCTCCTAGAAACTAGTATGGAACATAATTTTTAGTTTCTTGATAAGTTTGGTCTTGCTTCCACCGTAATTAAGTTATTAATGAGAGTGGCACTCATTTCGGTCTTCCATTATAACATTTGATGCTATCTCAAAGTTCATGTCTCATTTTGTGACAGTTTAGTATGGGACTGAATAATACCCTAAAAAAAAAAACCCAAAAAACTACAAAGCAAAAGGTTCTGCCACTCCACAAAACATTGTTTCAAGAACAACTAAATAAGGCCTAGGGATGTAGAATGTTCATTTGTAGAAAGTACAGGCAGGGACAATGCTTTAGCTCAATCCTGTATAATAAATACCTGGTCTGACATGCAGACATTGATAGCATCTTTTTTTTTTTTTTTCCCAAGATGTTAGCCCACAGACCAAAACCAACAAAAACAAATATCTTAAATAAAATCTCAGGGAACTACATAGAAGATTTCTGAACAAAGGCTCCACTTTTAAATCTGAGTAGCCCAAATTTTTCAGGGTGCACCACCAAAGTACTGAACTAGAAGGAGCCTATTGCCTGTGGGAAACTTTATCTTTGGGCAAGGCTCCTTAAGCTTAGGTAAGGCTGGAGAGTCTTGGGTTTGTGCATGTCCACCAACAGAACAAATGGCAGCAGCTGAGACACTATTTAGGCAAGGATTACTAGACAAATTTCCTTTAAAGTCTTAAAAAAACAACACAGCTTTCATGTGCATCCCACATCCTTACTTCCTAACACATGGGAATATTTCAAAACCTGTGTGATGCCTACCTACATCACTGGGCATTTGAATTATCTATGTGAATCTCAGCCATTTCTGAACATGGAATTTCAAAATCTGCCTACTATTGCAGTTACATTATGGCACCTTGTGTGTCACATCCCACAGATTTAGTCATCCAGCCCCTAAAAATATGTGCAAGCTTGCAGAAACTACATAAGATAGTTTGATTTGCTTGTAGTTAGCTATCCCCTCACAGCTAATCTCTGTAGAACCTTGAACTTGTTTGTTAGGGAGGGAAGTGCCTGGTTCCTCACCAGAACTAGGAATGACTGATGCTCTGGTCTCCAGGCTTGGCATAGCAGCAAGAACTGACTGTTAGGTGTCCCTGCTTCATTGCTAGGTAATGAGCAAGGCAGAGGCCACAGAGGACAATCTATAACTCAGCTGGACTTCAGGAGACAAATACTGCATTAAGCAAATGTTAAGCTTGATTTATTATTATTGGTGGTGGTGTTACTACAACTGTTATTATTTCAATGCCAGCAACTTCTATAACGGTTGAAGGTAGGTCTTGGAAAAATGTTAGATGTTTTAGTAGTCTTCGAATGACAAATATACCCATGGGAAAAATGAGCAATTCAGTCTTTGTTTCATCTGTTCAGTCTTGGCCTCCCTGGCAAGACTAGCAAGGTAAGTGGCCTGCTGTGGAGAGGTCAAAGCTTTTTCCACAGGCTACTCAACTGCAAGCATTTATTTCTGAGTTGTTAAAATCAGTAGGTACTGACACTGAAAATGGCCTTCCTATCAAGAAGAGCAACTTTACTAGCTGTTGCTGTAGACATTTTAATACTGACCAGCTCCTGTAAGGTCCTGTAAGTACCAGGTAATCCACTGCACTAAAGGCATCCTCCACAGAATTTCTTCTGCCACATTTTGATTTCCAAATCTGTAGATGCCCAGTTTGCTGCCAAAGACCAAATCTCTTTCCCATCTTGATCCAAAAAACACCCAGAAGAGCGCTATGCACATTCTACAAACTGGCAGGTTATTGATTACATTTGCTATCCAAAATGTCTGGCTGCATTCCCCAGCCCTCATCAGTGCCTTGTTTTTAGTCCAAGTTGCTAACAGATTGCTTATTCATCAGTTGATGCCTCTCCAGCTTGCAGGTTGTGTCTAAGTAGAGTTCCCTGAAAACTATAAAAACACCTCTTTGTTTGAGGACAACCACCAATTTCTGTTTTCTCTGCCAAGTTGACAGGAAGATGAACAAAGACAGACCCTAATTTTGGAATTTTGGCATTTGGATTCACAGGCACTAAAACTTCTTTAGTCAGCTTAGCAAAGTTGAAATAACATGGGATCCTGAAGCACATACAAGCTTTTGTGTGTTTGGACAGTGAGGAAGTAATAGAAAAGCTGGTTTTTTTTCTCCATGGCTTCAAGAGTACTGCAGTCAGGACTTCTAGTCTTGAAAATACTTACTCGTTGGTAGTTTACAACACTGTCCATTGGACTTTGAAGGAACATCTTTGGCCTGGCTTATTTCCAATTTCTTGAGCTTCACATGATGCTCAAAGTTTAAATCTAGAAAATAACAAAAATCAGTTTCCTGCCTATTTGTCACCAAGTCTGGTCTTCATGAGGCAAGCTCACAGTCCCACTGCTGACAGGAGTTCAAGACAATGAATATCCATGGATATCTCACCTCTCCTAATTGTCACCAAGAGAGACCAGCCTTGCTGTTGGGAGTAAGATTTGTACAAAACCCACCTCATGTCATTCTCCCACGCAACAACTGCTTATTTCTGTGAGTGTCTCTTGCTCCCCTGCTCCCAGTGTTGTCTTCATGTTTGCAGTAAAGCACATAAAGGTGACTCATTGTAGGAATGTGTTTTCTGAATTATTCAACTTTGAAAGATATTTTGCACAAGCTTAACTTATTGATTTCAGTGATTATTGATTGCATCTTTTTCTTTTTAGTCTACAACTAGGAGCCCCCCAGACAAGGAACAGATGCCTAATTACCCGAGGTAAGAGCAGGTATGGAGATGCACACACACATGGAAACAAACACTTGTGGAGGTACTTTCCATCAGAGTGCATTTGTGTAACAGGAGGGTGGAAAACCATCTCAGACAGAGGCTCTGATTTCACAAGAATAAACCATTATCATCACACAGTCTGGTTTGTACTAGAGCTTCTTTTTTATCAGCTATCAACCTATTCTTGTTTAGTGCAGGGCAGATTAGCAAGCAGTGAGGCACTGAGCTCACCTGTGGGTGCAGCTGAGGAGAGTTCCTGCCAGGTATTGCCGCTAAGGCAGGGTATGCACCTAAAAGCTGTATCAAAATCAAGTCCTGCATCCTGATTTCACAAGCAGGATCAAACATACTGAATAAAGTTGAAAACCATAGATACAACACGTTGTATCTGTGTTCAGACTAAACACAAGACCAATGCTCATTTCAGTACTGGGAAGCTTAGAGGTGATGGTACTGTCTCCATAAACAGCAGAATTTTCCAGTGGTGCTAATGAGTTTCTTGGGTTTGGGGCATCTAATGACCTCTGGAATAGCTGAGGGTTTTAATTATTACTGTCTGCTACCTGTGTGCTTCCATTTATGTCTCATTATATTACTATTATAATGATAATATAGTAATAGTAATATAATGATCTTAATATATAAAGATATTGTTATAGCATTAATATTTTTGTTATTATGTAATATTATTAACATTATGAAGTAATATTAGCTCACAGTAGTAAACTGATAAAATTTATTCCTGAAGACAACTGTAATATTAAAGGGTTTGTTAGCCTTTAAAACAAGGCTAAGTTTAGCCTTGTTTTTTTAGCGAAGTTACTGTGATTCAGTTTGCCTCTCCAGCTTTCCCAAGTGAGGGGGGTGCTGTTGTTGTTTTTTTTAAGTGGAAAATGAATTATCTTCAGTGGGGTCTCTTCTACCACCCTATTCTCATGTAAAGGAGAGGGAAGTTGCTTCTTGCAAGAATGTATGTCCCTCTCTCTCATTTCTGGAGCCAACTGCTCACTGGAGTGCAGTGTCCACACCATAAAACAATAGCTACCTCCTCTGCTGCTGCTTATCCTCTGAATCCCTTCCTCACATCCCCCCTCTTCAAAAGTTCTCATAAGAACAAAAAAAAGAATCTTATGGCCTGAGCTGAAAATGAAAAAATATTGCTCCTTCTTCAAGAGGCAGCTTAACTCCTACATGGGCATTCCTAATGGAGCTGTTTCCTGGAGTGGAGATGAAGTCACCTGCACTTAATGAGTAAAAATTTGAATTGAATTTTACAGGCTCTGAGGCTGGACAAAACTATTACAAAAAACTGGATAATATCAGAGATGCTTACAAATTCCAGATTGCTAAAGTAAGATGAATCATGCAAGGGGAGAGGGGGAATTACCCCTGGGATCAGAATAGGTGATTTCTGTCACTTTAAGAAAATAATGATGTGGGAGGGAGATGAAGTAGATGTGGGAGAACTTGCAAATACAGTTTGTCCAGAACATTCAATAAATTCTGTTTGTGAATTATCCACATCAAACTGCAAGGTTCTCCTCCTCTGCAAACTATGGCATCTCCATAGTTTTCTTGCTGTTTTCTATCTTCAGATTAAAAAATAAGTGGTTTCTTTGAACCAAAGACTAATTTCAGGGAGATTTTTGAGTGTTACAAAAAATTGCAGATAAACATTCAAGACCTACCTTTCTATTGCTCATGTTTTAACTCTCCAGACGGTTGAGTTTTCAACTCCAGTGCAAAGTTCTTAGCTAAGAATCACATTTTCCTCACACAAGGTGGGAGGAGGATAAGGCAGTTGATATTCAGCTGGGGGACCTGAAGGAACAGAATGGTTTTGATTCTCTCATACTCATTTCAACAAATACAGTTTGATCTTGTTCTAAACAAACCTGACCTATTGAATAACAGGCATTTTTCATCATTACCTGCAGTGTGACTCTCCAGCCAGCTGCACATCAGTTTCCTCTGCTTGGCATCCCACAGATGTTCCAGCTGTGCCCTGACAGCCTCAGGCTCCAGCCCATCCTACTGTGACACCACCATGGAATCACTGCTGCACTTCCTTGGATCCTCTTGCCAGGGACAGCTCTGGAAGAAGACCAGTATCACTAAAGCAGATTAGCAAGGTTTCTTGTAAAGTCATCACTGTATTTTACACCTTTTTCTTTGCTTTTTCTTTTTCCAAGATGACAGCTGACAATTTATATAAAGATGTATTGCATGCTTTGGTTAATAATTTTTGAAGTCATTTCAGTTTTTCCATTGTGCTTGATAAGTTGTTTAAAAGTAGATTTTATGCACAAAAGAGAAAGATTGTAAAAGGCTATAAAGATTATTAAGTGAAAGTAAATAAAATTTAGCTTTTGCTTTTTGTTGAAACATTTTTATATTAACTCTGTATAAAAATTTGTCTTTCCTAGGAATAATTGTATTTAATCATCAGTTTAAATAATTGTACTCACATGAAAGCTAATTTCTTCAGCCAAACTATGTAAACCAGTACTAATTACCTACTAATGCATTAAAGTGATTCCAAGAATTTGGTTTACAAGGAAATTGTGTTTTGTTTAGTAAGTTGACTAAGGCAAATTACATCCAGAACAAAACCAAATTACTTTCTATGCATTAACTCAGCAACAGTCAAGGAATAAATATGGTTAATGGGTATAATGGTCTGCATTCCCATAGCATTATTGTACAAAATTTATGTGAGCATGCCATGATACAAGAGTATACAAGATGACTTGCCCTATTTCATGCACAAAAACAAGAAAAAAAATCTCCTTAATATAAATACGTTTTCCTCCTGAACTACATGTTACAGTGACACCCAAATTTGGAAGAGGGAAGTGGATTTGAAGTTCAAGCCCTCAAGGCTCCTATTATTTTTCCAATCCCAATAAATTATTGTGCCAAGTGAACTATTAGGAATTAAAAAAAGCCAAAAAAGCCAATGTTCAAATTTTAAAATGGTGACAGAATCTCGAAAGCATATAGGTTTAGACTAATTAAAAATCTATTTTCTATTTTAAATGGGTTGATTAAACATTTTCAGTAAATTATTAGTTCTCTGGGGAAAACCTGCATTTCTGTTAGAAACACTCCCGACAAATACTGCAGATGTATTGTTATGAAGTTGTAAATATTCAGTGACTGCTGTATTAGTGTGGCTTTGTGTACCATACACAAAAAAAAAAGCCCTGAGATGTGTAATGTATTCCAGAGCTGGAAATACAGTAAGTGTCTGGGAACTGAGGGCCATGAGGCTGTCAGGCTTTATAGGGGAAAAGCAGGGATGTTTTAAGACTTACCTGGTTACATGGAAACAGGAGTGGGGAGAATTATTTGGAAATCTAAAGGAATATAAGCTGTTATTTCCCCCTTAAGAGGGCCTTCTTTCTCCCCTCAATAATATTTATATTATATATATATAATTTATATTCTTACAAACCTAGCTAGTCAGTGTATCCCCTGGCAAGCATTCCTGAGCTGACAACATATAGATGGAGAAGTAAATGCAAAAAATGAAAAGGTTCTTCATGTTGGTACCTGCTGTCTTTTCTGCCATTTGTTGCTTGTTTCTGTAGCAGAGGAGATGAAGGGAGGGGGTCAGTCCTCCCAAAGCTCCAGCAGGATCTGGATGCTGTCTGTGCTGCCAGGGGAGAGGCTGTGGCCCAGAGGCTCCTGTGCTCCAGTGAGAGGGCACCTGGGCAGTGCAGAGAGTTGTGGCCAACGGTTAAAAACACAAAACTGGAAATTTGCAGAAATAAAGCACAGACAGTTACATCAAGGAAACAGTATGGTTTTTCCTGGGGAAAAATAGTGTAACAATACAGCAACACTGCCAAACACACAAAGCAGAAGCCTGAGAGTAGCTCCCCTCAGGAAATAGTTCACTCTGTGTGCATACATGTATTTGCATCTCTAATGTGACACTCCACAGTTTCCAGCCCAGGAGAATTTAGGATTACCCATAACAACGCAACTCCTGTTCTCTGCTGCCTCATCCAAGCCCTGCTCTAGGCATCCCAAGCTTTGGGCAGCCCTGTTAACAAAAAGCAAGAGTATTTTCAGCTCTACTACAGCGTGCAGTGCAGTCTCAAAAGGATGCAGGACAGCAATAGGGGAGACATGCAGTTGTCACTTCAATGAAGAAATACTTCTGCTGCACCACAGATTTGCATGGTTCATCACTCTGGTCTCCTCTGACTCTTGATATCATAATGTAGAACATCAAAAACCCAAACCAAACAAAATACCCCCCACCAAAACCCAGATTGACTCTTGCCAGTCTACAAAATCTTCCTGAAAACTGTGTGTCATCCATAAAAATGCAATTTCTATGGTATTAAATTCCACAATGGCTAAGCAACAAGTTGAAAACAGGGCTTTTGTTCATTTGGGTTTTGTTTACACACACAGAATTCCCACCCACCCATACTTTGAGGCAGCCAGCCAAGACCCAGAGGAGAAATGAAGGGATGGATGCCTCTTTTTTCCTTCCCAAAGGGAATTTATTCATCTCAGCGTGGTTAACTATGTTCAAGCTACAAGTAAAATCATTATACTTCTGCAAAAAAAATAGCATCTGTTCCCCACCCCTCTCATATTCAGTATTCACAGTCGGTTTGCTGCTGCAGGATTTCCATTGCTTTCCTCAAGGGGTGCCACTGAACTTCAGACTCATTTCTAAGGGAAGTCCTGAAGTTTTGCTAACCAATGTGCTTCACTAACAGGGAACATCAGCAACTGCCTGTTAGGCAGTGCATGAACAATTAAGTAAATCACAGGAGCCTGAGAGCCTAACTGAGGCAAGATCTCTGCTGTAGGTACTCTAAAATATTAGCTAAAATATTAGTTTCATTTATAAAATATTAGTTTCATTTCATTAGTAAGCTAGGGGATTCAGTGGCCAACCCATCAGCAATAACACCACTCCACACTTCCAGCTGGCAACTTGTGTTCTATTAAACTCGAACCAATAACTCATTGAAAAATAAATACTTTTAACACAGTGGCATCCAAAAGAAAGAAAAGCAATGCAGAGAGACCCACAGTGACTGCAGTTATCAGCAAGTTTGTTGTGCCAGGGGCCCCATTACAGGAGAGGTTTCAGTGAGTCAGCAGTGCTCCAAGATTGCCCGCTTTTGCTGGGGTAGCTCACCTACATCTGGATGTAGCCTGTGGTCCATGAAGGGGTGGCACGGCCTCGCTGGATTTTCACCCTACGAAAAAATACTCATAGAATTTCAACACCCGTGTAAGCTGCAGCAGGCTGAGAATAAATATCAAGTCCTACCTTCATTTCACTAAAGAAGCTGCAATCCGTGCAGGAATGTAAATGGTGCTGAAGAGAGATTTCAGCCTTCACAGGAAACATCTACAGTGAGAAGAGCAGGAGCAAAATGACAAGCGTTGTCCTGGCAGTGCTCGGGGGGCTGTGAATAACAAAGAGGAGGCAGAGCCGTGTAGACTGACTGCTCATCCCCTTCATTTACTGTAACCAGCTTTCTTCCTGACAAACTTCAGAGCCATAATTCAGTAATGCTGGAGTGAGTCATTCCAGAAACAGGCCCCAAGACAAGCCATCAACAGGCAAGGTGGAGGGACACACTCATCCACTCTAGACACACTGGGATGCAGTAGCTGAAATTAAGAACTGCATCAAGAGAGCAGGGAAGAGTTTAATGGAGGCAGAAAGTGGTCCCAGGAAAGCAGCAGTCAGTGTATGCCAGACTCCTAGAACAAGAAATCAGAAGACCTATACCAGCAGCACTGTCAATTCTCAACAGTAATTTCAAAGGCTTGGATCAGCCTCTTCTTACAGAAAAAAAAACAGGAATAAAGCACTCAGGTCTCTCAGCTCAGTTCTGCAAAGACCTTCCATACACACAGAGAGGAGGGGTCCCACAGAGGTGAAGAATCCATTGAGGTGCCCAACACTGTAAAAAACACACACATAAATTGCAATTGTTTGCAGATGCAAGTGACATACAATACTAAAATGTTCACCAGAAAAAGCTTTCTGTTCCCATCTGTTCCCAGAGAATGCGCCTAGTCTGGTTAAATAAACACAAAAAGCAGCATTTTTAATCAGTCAGCATTAAAGTTAATCAGTTGTAATGCTAAAATACCTCATTATGAATCAGTGTTTTCAGTCCTGGCAGAAGACTGACCAGAAGATTTCACCCCAGAGCACTAACCTACGAGGCTTGTTGGCTTACAGCAACTCTTCAGAAAGAAACTCTGGGTCCAGTGTGCTTCAAGGCAAGACACACAGGTCTGACAATTATCTGAAGGACTTTTTCCTGGCATGGATTTGGGTAATTCAGCCACCTTCTCTGGTACTTGCAATACTTTCCTTTGCTAGATTAAGTGCTGCTATCAGAAGTACATAAAGATATAAAGTATAAAGAAGTATATAAAGATATTTATAGATAAAAGATCACCAAGCAGACTTGTTAAACTTTGCTGTAGTTTTTGAGGTTATATTAAGCAGTTTTACCTGCAAGGCGTGGGCTGGCACAGGCCTTTGCTGTGTATTGCACCACAGGAACACCCACATGGCCTCAGGCTGGAGATGAGGATCCCACAGACATCATATAAATTATATACAGCTTAGATTTCAGTCACACTCAGAAAATGAGAGTCAGGCACCACAAGGCAGCAGTAAGTAACTGAACATACAGCTTATGGCAGGTGACCTCATCCCTCTAATTTTTCCATGTTAGTGGGTTTATTTGTCCTTTTCCACCCAAATCTGATATCTGACTAGGCATCAAAATCTAGACAAAAACCTAGACAAGCAAATGCCAGCAGCTGCCAGCCACCAAACAGAGCCCACTTCAGCTGCCACTCTCCCAAGTCATAGTTCTGGCTCACAGCACAAAGGAGGCATGGAGAGACACAGAGGAGATGGAGAGTAGGAAAGGATTAGGCAAGGGGTAAATTGCACCATTACCACAAGAGGGAAGCCTTCATTTAAGTTTAAAACTCCATCACAGACAATACAGTCAAGAACTTACATTAGTTTTCTATTTTAGGGTGGATTCAGTGAATCTATAACCACAGGAAGCAACAAACAAACTTCCTGATGCTGCCTCTACTGATCAATTACCTTTGGAGCCAAGCAAGCTTCCGTACTAAAACAAAATAAAGGAAGAGAAAAAGTATTAAATATTCTAAAAATCACTTTTTCCAGCCCTAACACACTAAAAATTTTGGGATTGATATTACTACACAATGGCACATAGGTACCACAAACTGCAGTGCATATTTTATCTTACACAATTTCCACTGCCTTCCTGTTCAAGAGTTTCAGTCTCACTTAATGGATCAGGCCCAACAGTGATACAAGTGCTCTGGTAAGGAAGAGTGACCAAAAAGTGGTGAGACCAAAACAAGTGAGAAAATTCTATTCATCTCTACAGAGGATTCTTCTCTTCTAAATCCATCGAGTGAGTTTTAAGTTGCCTTTACGCCATACCTGACTGGCCTCAGTTTATTGAGAAGAGGCTAAAATCACCCTAACTCCTGTGGGAAAGGACTGAAGTATTTTTATCTCTCAGTATCAGACACCTGTGGTAATTCCAGAAACAAGAGAAAGAAAGAAGTGGAGGCATTC